GGAGCAGCAGCAGCAGGAGCAGCAGGGGCAGCAGCAGCAGGAGCAGCAGCAGGAGCAGGAGCAGCAGCAGGAGCTGCAGCAGGAGCAGGAGCAGCAGCAGCAGCAGAACACCGCACGTCGGCACTCGTCGCCGCGTGTTGGGGGGCAGCCATGGAGGCGCAGTCCTGCAACTCCGTGCTCGGTGAGAGAGGGGTGAGGAGGAGGCGTGGATGGGTCAAGTGAATTTAACCCGTGGGTCCTCGCCGTAACCAACGACCCCAACCCAACGCTGCTGCTGGTGGTGGTGGCTAAGGTAAAGGCGCAGCCCTGCAATTGCTCGCTCGCGCCACTGCTAGTGGAAGGGAGTTCCCGCCAACCACGAGGGGAGCTATCGAGACCAACCCTCTCTCGGGGCTCGAGTCTCGCCCACTCTTCCACGATGGCCAGGACGTCTTGGAAGAGTCAAGAGTACTCACAACTTTACCCTACCACGCGCAACTGGCCGTACCGATTTCTACTGCTGGGTGGACAGAGGCGGGCGGTGTGGGGGGATGGGGAGGTTAGTTTAAGAAACTCGCTCCGTTGTTTCAACTGCTGCGCCGAGACACGGATTAAAACCGGCGACCTCTGGATCGGAAGTCCAGTGCGCTGCGAACCATTACACCGCACCTCCTAATGGGCACGATTGGCTCCGCGCGGTGCGAAAGAAGTTCACCGTGCCCACAGCTCCCGTGGCAGCTTCCTCGCTGCGCTTCTCCCACGCAGTGAAGATCCCACGCGCGCAGTGCAAGAACGCCGCGCGGCCTCGCGAGAACGAGGCCGCCGGCGTGCCGGGAGTTGCGTGCCGAACACGATCGAGACCAGCGCACTGCCAACCATCGCTCCGACAAAGTGGCAACAACGCCGTAGGGCGAGGACGCGGGCGAGAAATGCATTATAACCGCCGCAATAATAGTGCGTGGGTCGTTATTAATGAGAGTGCAATTACAGCCGAGAAGAGATGCAAATGCTGCACACGCAGCTGTAGTCGGGGCCCAGCACCCCGTGGGGACTGGGGGGGGGGGGGTCACCTCGGCTGGCCCCAAACACCCCAAATTGGCCAATGATAAATGGGGGAGCCCTGAAGTCTGCAGAGAGCTGTGGGATAAATGCGAGCCTAAATGTGTAACCATTCAAAATATATTAGTGCCATTACACTGTGCCTGAAATTATCAACCTGTGTACAATGTGCTGAGTGTACCTTGGGTGCTTTTCTTTATCCGTCGCGCATTTGTCAACGTGTCTGTGTTGTATACGTGTGTGTGTGTGCGTGAGTGCGTGTGTTAATTAATCATCTGTACAATCTGTATATCTGATTAATCGCATGTCAGGTTTTGACTCGTGGCACTTTTGTCAAGGTGATGCCCTCTAAATTAACAAATGAGGGCTTCCTACGCCACCAAACGCACGAAGAGGTGTTCTCATTATACGCCGCTCTTGTTACCGACTAATTCCTGCCCGGTTGGTAATATCGTGCAGAATGTTCAAGCAATTTATGTCTCATGGCCGTGAAAAACTTCACCGTGTCGTCCGAGACTCTACGGCGGCTTGTGCACTTTCGAGAACGACCGGGCAAAGTGCGACCCGAGGAGACGAATCGATCGACGCTCTCACCGAGACGTCACTGCAGCTCGTGGTCGCCAGACGGATGCCCATCGCATCGTCGTCGTCAACGGTGAAGTGACCCCGAGCGTGCGCGACGTGGCGTGCGATCTCTCGTGTCCACGTCAGTGAACACGGACACGTTTGCCTGATTGAGATGTAGAAGTTGAGATTGTGGATTCTGGGTTTTTTCTCCCCCCCCCCCCCACCGCTCAAAGCGAAACTGTCGCCCTGCTGCGAGAAGCAGTTGCACTCCTCCTCCTCCTCACCTCCACGCGCAGTCCTCGGTCGGGCGGTGGAAATTCCACATTCCTCTATCAAGGGAGCCAGGATCTCCACGTTGATAAGCGCGGTTGACTTCACGCAAAGCGGCGCTCAAGTTACTGCGCGGGCTCTCGCGCTCGTGACGCGGAGTTGTCCGCCGTGGGCTCGGGCGTCACGCCGAACGACACGCGAGGCGGGTGGGGGTGGAGGAGGAGGGGGGGGGGAGATGAACTTGCGACCTCGCGACACGCGAGTCGTGCGTGCCACACAGCCTCGACCTCGCTCCGTCCGCATATCTCGAGTTCGCATTTGTTAATTTCGGTAGTTTAGATTGCTGTTCAGCTCCTTTATCCCTGCATCCTTCCTCTCATTTTCTCTTTAGCGCGCTGTAACGGCACCAATGGGGGGCGGGGGGTGCTCGACAAAGGGGGCCTTTCTTTCCCCGGGGGGCCCTCCACTCGAGGTGGGGGCACCGGCGGCGCTTCCTCGCGGGTGGTCCAAATCAGCGCGAACGACATCCCGCCCCCCCCCCCCCCTCTCTGCGCGCCGGAGAATCTAAACAGCGGCGTCGGCACCTTTGCAGTGGGGAGGGGGGAGACGGGACCGCTGTCTGGTAGCCAGGGGGGGGGGGCTGTAGGTAGCCAGGGGGGGGGGCCTGTAGGTAGCCAGGGGGTGGGCCTGTAGGTAGCCAGGGGGGGGCCCTGTAGGTAGCAAGGGGGGGGCCTGTAGGTAGCCAGGGGGGGGCCCTGTAGGTAGCCAGGGGGGGGGCCCTGTAGGTAGCCAGGGGGGGCCCTGTAGGTAGCCAGGGGGGGGGCCCTGTAGGTAGCCAGGGGGGGGGACCCTGTAGGTAGCCAGGGGGGGGGCCCTGTAGGTAGCCAGGGGGGGGGCCCTGTAGGTAGCCAGGGGGGGGCCCTGTAGGTAGCCAAGGAGGGGGGCCCTGTAGGTAGCCAGGGGGGGGCCCTGTAGGTAGCCAGGGGGGGGGGCCCTGTAGGTAGCCAGGGGGGGGGGCCCTGTAGGTAGCCAGGGGGGGGCCTGTAGGTAGCCAGGGGGGGGGGGGGCCCTGTAGGTAGCCAGGTTCGCTTGACGCGCAACGCCGGTCCGTGGCCACAGCCGCGAGAGAAGAGGAAACGACTCATCGGCCTTGTGTTGTGGAGCTGTAGGAAAAACAGGCACTGCAGTTGCGTGTTGTTTTTCTCTCTCCTCCTCCTCCCACCACACCACCCCCTCCCACCCTCCATGTTAAATGTGGTTTGAAAAATAAACCAGCTGTGAACCACGAAATGCTAAATGAAGGGGGCAGGATGGGGCAGGCGAGGCACATGCTGAGTCGGCGGCCTTCCAGAACAGCGATTTCTCTCTGGAGGGGCTCCTATTTAGTTCGCACTCACAAAGGGGGGGGGGGCACTCCCAGCGAGAGAAAATACATATATTAGTGCACGAGCGAGCGAACGAGTGGGGGGGGGGGAGAATAAGTATATAAGTAATAAATAAATAAATCGGGCCGGAGCGTCCGAGGGGGGCCCCCTCGATTGTCGCCGAGGTGCGCGGCTGGCCGTGAACAGCTCTGCCTGGGACGCGCGGCGCCCTCCAGCATCCACCCCACAACCCCCTTGACGCCGCGCGTGCGTCGTTTCCGAGAGCCTCCGACGCCGCCGCCTCCGCGTCTCTCGCCTCGGAGGGCCCACGGCAGAGGTCGTTAACAAGTTCGCGATTGCAGGGCTAAAGCACGCACGCTGACACACGCACACACGCACGCACGCTGACACACGCACACACGCACGCACGCTGACACACGCACACACGCACGCACGCTGACACACGCACACACGCACGCACGCTGACACACGCACGCACGCTGACACACGCACACACGCACGCACGCTGACACACGCACGCACGCTGACACACGCACACACGCACGCACGCTGACACACGCTGACACACGCGCGCGCGGGCGCAAATGAGCACAATACCCAGAGGTTCTTTAGCTAAATAGGAAATGCAATTCCTTTTGTACAAGATGGATGGGGGCACCTTGCCGCTGAGGCTGGACACAAGACCGGCCGGCGGAGCGGAAACGGCGCTGCCCAAAATAAACCCAAGGAACGTTCGCCCCCCACCCCCACGCACCCACCACCACACAGCTCCCCGCCCCGACGCCACGGCCGTGTGCCACTCTGCGACCTCCCGCAGTCTGCTGGCACAACCCTCGTCCACACAGCGCTGGGTGCGGCGGCGGCGGCGGTGGTGGCGGTGCGCCTATACTCCACAGCTGTGGCAAGCGCTGTTAGCGAGCACCTATTTTACACGGCTGGCACGAGACCACGTAGAGGTGATGTGGCCAGCACCATGGCTGGCTGGCCGACCGTGTCTTCCCACTGCTCGTTTTGTCAACGGCATCCAGCGAGGAGAGGGCTCACCTCACCGATATCCGTATGGCATACAATGGAACTCAGATCGCTGATTTTGCAACGCATTGCGTAAGCTGCAGGGATACACACCACTCCCCCGCAAGTGTGCGCACCGCTGCCAGCGTATAGACAAACAGGGGCAGTTGAACAATGCGGGCTGACACCGGAGAACAACTCTGAGTGATTGTTGAGACAGCTTGCGCTGGGCCGCTGTTTTGGCCGTCACTCGTTAATTTCCTCTGACACGCATCGATACACGATGGGGCAAGTAACGGTCTCAGCGTCTGGGATTCGAGAGAAACGAGGGACAGCAGAGTTTGTTCGGCGACAGAAATAACAAAAAAAAGGTGTTTTGTTGTTTCTAAACAAACGTTCTCTTACGCAACAAGTGAATCTGTGAGGATTTCAGGGATCAATGCACGAAATACTACAAATATGTGGCGTGAGACTGCCTTGTGTTGTTTTTTTGGATGCTGCTAACTTTGGGGATGCAATTTTTTTTTAATTTGGGCTGCACATTGGCCATGCAAATGAAGGTTTCCACATATTCAGACGAGGACATCGTATTCGGCAATCCGATTAACGGACTTACCATCAAACCAGCAACTGCGGCTTTGCTATTAAAAACATTCTCAGAACATTCCAACCCGAGAAACAACAACAATACACATTCCTCGCGCGTGAATTTAGACACAGAAGTCGGAGAAATGTTGCGTCCTTTTTGGAGAGAACGAAATTTTATTTTGTCCGACAGGTGGACACACTAAGAGCAGGGCTGAGCAGGTATGAGCCGCTTTACAGAGTGAAACGCAAGGCCATCATCCATAATCCAGCATCGAGTCCTCCCCCACCCCGCACGGCACTTGATAACAAACACAGACTTCACAAAAGCGGAAGAATTCCCGAAGTCTCTGTGGCTGACAAGGCCACACGCGAGCATAAAGGCATGAAGGCCAAGCATGACTGGGTCTCCAAGACAGCCGTTCACAAAGCGCACTTTCCGTACGGCGCGCTCACGTGTCCTCGCTTTTAATACCCGCGGTGACACATTCTCCCGCGCGGTGTGCTTAGAAGCCCAGAAAAGGGGCAGAGGAATTGCTCCGGGCGTTTGAACGGGAGGCTTCTGGCTACGCTAAGCCCTCGCGCAGTAAGACGTTGGCTTTTGTTTTGCTTTCTTAGATGACCTCTCAATCGCCGCTGCGGAGAAGCTGTACGCAGCTGTGAGCCGCGGGAAGGGACGCGCGTTGAAGCCGAGCTGCCGAGCACACGGCTCGCAAAGAGACCTCGCAGCTGAGGTGGACAGGTGGCTTGGAGGTCAGAGTGCCGATCCGGCACCACTGAGTTCCTGGTTTTGAATCTGGGGTTTCCATCGCCCGTTATTAAACTGGGTTCTCAAGGGTACAGTGAGGTCACCGGGTCAGCGCGGTCACCGGCACTGACATTTTTTAAAATGTAAGGTAGTTAAAAATCTCATGGTGGAGTGTACGAGATGGTGTGACCCCTACTGGATAAAAGATGATTTGGCCACCTGATCGATTTTTTTTCTGGGAGTAGTCCGATGGAACGTCTCGAACGCAGCGTCACACGGCCCTGGAATATTTATGAAAAGCTTCTTCATCCCACGACACGATGCTGAATGCCACGACACGATGCTGAATGCGCAAATTGAAACAAATTTGCAACATGCCATGCCCACAATGAATGTATCGAATCATAATGAAATAATTGATTATTGTCGATGTGTATTGGGTGAAAGTATTTCATTCACCTGAACACCGCAGCCACAGGAGGCGCTAAATGCATCACAGTGGCAAAAACATAATCAGTTCTCGAGAATTATGAATTTAAAAAAATTGCATATTCACCACAAGTATATGTGGTTAATGCAGACATGATTCATGATTCCCTGCAAAGGTTTCAGTTTGGTGTTTCAACATCTTAACACACCTGTTTTATTGCCAGAAATGGGAAAACCCTACCATCATAATTGAATACTGGCAAAGGAGGTCTCATGATAGAATGAATCAAATTCGTGGCAATTCATCGAACGGTTAGATGTTCAGTTGCATTGCAGCCCGTCAAACATCACGATTCACCACGAATAACGCCAAAGCGTCTCACCACCAGCAGCGCGAGTGGCTGCGGGCCCCACTGACACGGCACGCGGCTCTCTCGGGCAAGAGGCAATCAAATACATTGGCCTCAGCGACTTTAAACGTTCGACGCATCTCCTCCGAACCCTGCGCACTCGGCGGGCCCTCCGTTCGGACGCCCGGCTGAGCGTAGAGACAAACCTGTGGCTTATTCCACCTTTTTCCCCAAGAAGTTTTTTTTTTGGGTCCTCGCTTATGCTCGCTCCGCGGCGTCCGCACCACTCCGCGGAACGCCCCGGCCACCTGCTACGCCGCCGCCGCTGACGCCGCACGCCTTCAGGATATTCCACCTGACCTCGCCCCGACCCAGCCAACGTTGCCGCCCTTGTTCCATAACGCCGGCGAGAATTTAATCTCGGGGCTAAAAGGGCACTCTGTTCTACGCGCCCAAGTCGGTCACGTTGACTTCTTCCGCACACCAACACTGTCGCAGTGTTTTATACCCGCGCGCGCGCGCACGTGTGTTACGCCCTGCACGTGGCTACCGACCGAGCCCATGTCGTGCAGTATGTATGTTGAACTTCCTTCGCGCCGTACGTAGCCAACCGTGCTAACCGGAGGTGCGGGGGAAGGACAACAAACTAAACACAAAAATAACTTCTAAGGAAGTGAATTTTCAATGTCATTCTGAGCGCTGGTGGTATGTACCCCTGCGGTGGTAATCGCAGGGGTTGCGCTGCGTGGGTCTCCGATAGGCTTTTGGGGTTGTGCCGCTATTGTGCTGTTTCGGCACGACGTCCAACGTTTCGCGCCATGCGCTGGGAGCTTCTTATTCGGCTCCCGAAGAAGCTGCCGGAGTGTGGAGCGAAACTTTGGGGCATAAATTATGAACGGCACGCGGCGCGGACCAAAAACTGCAGATGTTACATGTTTAATGCACAAAAAAACGAATGGAAGCATTTGTAAAAAGTAGAAACAACAACAACAAGACGTGTTCAACTCCACGAGGGTGTCCTGGCTCCCCCTGACAAACTACGACTTGGGCACGATGTCACGTGTGCTTCTGGCAGCGTCTTTGCTGCTGGTTATTGGGGAAAAACTCCCCCCGAGTCGGTGAGTGCGTCTGTTAGGACTTCACCTCTCCAGGACAAGATGTGTCTCTCAGCTCGCAGCGGCAGTGGGGCGACACCCACCCGGGTGAGCAGGCCAACAGCCAGTGGTGTCAATTCCACATTCCCATTGCAGGGAGTCAGTCTCTTCACATGGCAACCACCTGCTACAACAAAGCACTCATTTATCCGTAATAAAGGTTTTTTGGGTTATAATTTGTACTCAAATTGTTAATGTTGTGGCTTTACTCTCCAACACACTGGTTTCGTGATAGACCTTGCTTACTAGCTGTGTTGGGTGGTGGCGGGTTAAGGACACATTTATATTGAAGTGATCGAAACCCAAAAAAACCTCTATTATGGATAATAATGCAAGGATGATGGGGCCGAGTTTACCCCTGACCACGATCCGAACTCAGAAACCTTCGGATAGCCATTCACGCGCTTTAAACCTCCTGAACAACCACGCAGATGCACAATCATACGAGGGCAACTCCAATTGTGTCACGGAGTTTGCTTTTCTTCACATTGAGATCGTTGATTGATGATTGATGTTGTTTGAAGATCATTGTGGTGACGAGTGGTGGTGTAGGATGATGATGATCCGTGACTTTGGGTAATTTTGGCGATGATCGCGATCGTGGTAAGATGACGTTCATTTCAGTGTCGTCACCAAAGCGACTCCCAGCACCTGAGCGTTTTCCAAACTCCGTGACGATTCTTCGGGCACACCTGTGCTGTCTCCGTGTCTCTGCAACGTCAGCAGCAGCAATACAACTCTCAAAACACAGCACCTGCAACACATTCATCTCACAAAGCCACAGCGGACATTTACTGCACCCTCAATATTTTACCATCATCATTATTAGTAAATTACGGATATTATTACGATCGTATTACTCATCCTAACTTATAGATAAATTATGTGTAACACCACACATTCATCAACTCTGAATAAATTAAACCCAATTTATGCACCGCATATCATGCTGGATTTAGGCCACTGGTCCTATCGCTGTAATTTATACGCCCGTTAGATTGTACTTTCATCCAATTACCATTATGTATGAAATCTTGCCGGACAAGTTTTGATTCATGACATTTTTATATCATCGTTGCGGTAAGCAAATCTTCTCAATATTCAACAAAATCCCCGCGATTTGAGACGACTTCCAAATTGCGCTGCCAGATTATAACGGTCGGCGTGCAGCTTTGATCCCACGCGTTTCGTGAACATCGCCATGGTGGCGTCGAATGAAATTGCCTCCACAAATCACCAACAGCGCTCACTCCTCCCCGTTCCTACCCCAAGTTGCTCTGCATTTGGTGGCGAGCTCCACTGTGCCTTGAACCGCTCACGGAGGGGATGGATAAATGCATTCACGCCCGCAAGCGTGTGTGAGTGTGCGTCAATTTAGCCCCAGGTTGCGCCCAGTCTTGCCAGACCTAAGCAGATTTTAGCCGTGATAACGCCTTGGATGGGTGCTCAAAAGGCTGCTGTAATAGGCTGTGTTGTGGGTCGCAGAGGGCACTGCAGAAAAAAAGCATTTGTTGTTCTGCCACCTTCACTCAACCCGCAATGACCAGCGTGGTGAAGTATGGTCAATTATACCTCATGGCACGCAGGACATGGGGAGGCCCTCATCCAGCAGTGCATCGGCAGAACGGAGCGGCACGCGTTCCCGTACATGGTCGGAAACTTGAGTTGGCAATCTTAGCGTATGAGTAAGTGAAGGTCAATAGGTCGTCATTGCCGATAAGTGATTCCAACACACCCATCCCATCGCAACTCGAAACAAGCTGGAAAGCCAGTCTCTTCAAGCAGCCTCCGTTTGGTGAATGCAAGAGATAATGAAATGGACTTTGCTCGTACTGAACGAATGCTGCTGAAATTATGCATTCCCACAAGACGGTGAAGCCAGTGGGTTGGGTACAACAACAACAACAATTGCGTGGAAACGTATATGAATGAGGCATATTATCGGCGTATCTATTTTAGTATTTATAGTTTCGACGACGACGCTCATCATCGTTTGGCGTTTCCATTTTTTTGTCTGGAGATTTAACCAGGCGTAGAAATGTGCACGCGGAACAACGCAAATGACAACGAACGCACGCGTTCCGCGCTGGGCACGTGCGCACACCCACACGCACACAACTGATGCTCACGCCGCGATCGCACACGTACACAATGCACCGTTATCACAACAACAACATTCTAGGAAATATGTCATTGCCAAGTTTTGCTAAAGATTGGCAATGCCCAAAGTCTATGCAAGACGGTTGCTGCATCATTTTCTCATTTGAAGGATTTAGCTGTCACATCTGGAACAAGTCTGATTGCCGCTTCGCCGCGTGGACAGCAACTGGGAGGGATGACAGCCAATCAGATCACAGACAGAGATCACATGAATACCAGAGGTTACGTGCTCTGTGAACCAATCATTGGTCATAAAAAAATTATAATTGTCTCCAAAGTCGGGTTTTTTGGGCCAGACGGAACTGTGCCACTGTTGTGCTAAGTTGTTACAATTGCCGATGGGTCAATGCGTTGCCTGTAGAGATTGCCTGCAATAATTGCCCTAAGGGCGTGTATCAAGACGTAAGATTGCGTCGCTGTGAGTCGAAGGAGTGTGCCGCAAGGCGCACCTGTTCTCGGACAGGGCCACTCAGTGCCGTTGCCATACCAAGTTGCCATAGCTGCTAATGGAACATGCGTTGCCAGTGATGTCTGCAGGCAACAATTGCACTAAAATTGCCCGCAGTGTGTTATGGCATTAACTGCCAGAAGGGAAAGCATCAGCAGTGGCCATTCAGTGCAGAGCAGCACCATCTGACCTCGCTTGTACCTTCATGGGGTGTCTGCGCACGAAGCCACGAGGTGTCTAGAGCAAATCGAGCTCTGGCTCTGACTTGACAACGCAGTAGCGTATCCCGCCCCCACCCCGTCTCTCCCTCCGCTCAACCATCCCTGATTCCTCCCCACAATAAATCCAGCTTAAGGCTGGAATATTTAGACGTTGCACAAGCAGATTCTTTTTTTTATTGGTGGCAAAACTGTCACGTGAAGTTCACCGAGGCCAATACAGGTGAACTCCTGGTAACAGACATGGTGTTTAAATCGAGCAGCTGCACACGATGATTCTGTGATTGTGTATTCTCTCTCGCTCTCGCTCAAGCTTAAGCTCGCATTAAAAAAAAAGCAAACTTGCAAATGTGCGACCTGCCAAGGTTAGATAGGGAAGGTTAGTAAGAGACGGGCGCGAGGGGGGCGGTTATTAAACATCCTTTTGAATGATTGCGCTTTGCTTTGGGAGGTGCCGGTAAGGAAATGTCAGAAGGGACGATCAAGGCGCAGCCATTCCCACACCGCTCGCCGGCATCAGATTACACGGCTGGTGCCGCGACTAAGAAAGTCGAAGACGAAGAAAATGTTTTAACTTCAAAAAGGAAACAGACTAAAAAGGGGAGAACACACAAGCAGCGCTCAGCTGGCCAGCAAATTCATTCTCTTCATTTTTTTTTACCATTATGCAAATTTTTTTTAAAAGCTTTTTTTTCCGACACCGTTTTAACTTTCATGTTTGTGTAAATAAATCGGCCCGTAATCTCAGCGTGAGATGCGATGGAGGGTACATCCAGAGTCAAGGTCATTGGCAGCTTTGAGCAGAGTACACGTGCGTGTCGTGAGTGCGTGTTGTGTGTACGCGTGGTGAGTGTGTACGCGTGGTGAGTGTGTACGTGTTGTGTGTACGCGTTGTGTGTACGTGTTGTGTGTACGTGTTGTGTGTACGCGTTGTGTGTACGTGTTGTGTGTACGTGTTGTGTGTACGCGTGGTGCGTGTGTACGTGTTGTGTGTACGTGTTGTGTGTACGCGTGGTGAGTGTGTACGTGTTGTGTGTACGCGTTGTGTGTACGCGTGGTGCGTGTGTACGTGTTGTGTGTACGCGTGGTGTGTACGTGTTGTGTGTACGCGTGGTGCGTGTGTACGTGTTGTGTGTACGCGTTGTGTGTACGCGTGGTGAGTGTGTACGTGGTGAGTGTGTGTACGTGTTGTGTGTACGCGTTGTGTGTACGTGTTGTGTGTACGTGTTGTGTGTACGCGTGGTGAGTGTGTACGTGGTGAGTGTGTACGTGGTGAGTGTGTGTACGTGTTGTGTGTACGTGTTGTGTGTACGCGTGGTGAGTGTGTCGCTGGGAGGAGCGAGACGAGACGGCGCGTCTCACACAATCCGAGGGCGACCAGGGGAGGGAGGCGACGCGCTGGGTGGGTCATCATTGTCACCAGGAGGGACGGCTCCCTTCTCCGGCGCGGGGGGCGCCTCTCAACCTCGGCAGTCCCCGAGCAAACGCGCGGATGTAACTGAATTACACCTTCTCTTGCTTGCGATCTTTGCTTATTAAAAAACACGCTCTCCCGATTCGAGCGTATAATTCTTGGCGGTCGTGACAGCCAACAGCCCTGAGGTGTTTCTAAATTAAAGTATTACTGTATGATGAATGAACGGATGTATCCAATATCCATCAAAACAGCCCATTCCACCAAGACGCGAGCGTGCCACGTCGCCGACCATTCACATCGCCATTCATTGCGCCGCAACTGCGCTGCGCCGTTGACCAGAGACGCGACCCCATCCCCCCCCCAACCCCCATCCACGGCGACGTGAGACACGGGCAGCGACGGCGCAGACTCGGCCCCATCACCCCGCAGGAGCCTCCCGCAGGGCACGGGCCTCGCGTCCCGTGGCTGCCACGGCCAAGAACGACGACAACAAAAACATGCGCCGTCTATTCGAGGGGGGGGGGGGGAGTCGAGAGGCATCCGCAGGGGGAGGGGAGTGGGGCAGCCCAGGGGCCCAGCCCCCCCCCAGCCCCCCCCCCCCCTTCACACACGGGGAATATCTTGCAGAGAAATCCGCCAACGACTTCTTTGCGGCCCGTGTCGGCTCCCTCAACAAGGGGGGGGGGGGTTCGTTGTGTAGACTCTGCAAAGGGGGGGTGGGGGGGGCCCACAGAGTGGACGCCACCGGAGCTCCAGAAACAGAATCGCGGCTGCACGATGCCAGCGTCGTTATTATTATTGTTTTTTTTTTAAAGCACCGCATAAACGGGACAGCCCTTTCTCTAGCCACTGCTCGATGAAAGCCTCCCCGTGCCGCGTTAGTCACGGGGGATTGTTGGAGCATACTTCACCACGCCGGTCAGTGCGGCTTGCTGACGGGGTGGCAGCCCCAGAACTTGTCAGGATGTCACTCCTCGTCGACATCCGCCGTGGCCGGGAATCAGACGGAGGCGGCGCGGGGTTTTCAGCGCAGTCCGCTCGGCGCCCCTCGGCCACCGCACCGCCACGCGGCGTCGTGAGAGGCGGGCGTGCTGGACAGACCGCCCCAGGGAGTTCTCTCCCAGCTCTGCCCTTGCTTGAAACGCTCGCCGAGAATCACAGGTGCCCGTTCTAGGGCGGCATTAATAACGATGACGTGCTGGTGGGGGACACACACAATCTCGACTCCACCCTCCCCCCATCCATTACCCCTCCCCCCCCCAAAATTTTTTTAAAAAAACACAATCAGTCATCCCCCTGTGGGTTCTTTAAACAGCAGCGCCGATTTCAGGTGCAGTGTGTGTGTGTGTTTTACTGCTCGAGAACGCGTCCGCTACCTCCCATCGCCACCTCGATTACGAAAATGGCAACCCCCCCCCCCTCTTGCCTCCCCCCCCCCCTCCTTGGCTTTGCGACTGCCGGCAAAGAA